GGGGTTCTAGGCCAGAGGAGGGCAAATCTCTGTGTTTATTGCCTGGGGGGCTTGCCCCTCCCAGAGAGCTGGGGCTGGCATTGCTTTCTGGCCTTTGTGGCAGTGTTTGAACAAGAGCTCTGGGGCCTGAGCTCAACTCCCTGGGCAGGGGTGTGGACTGAGTTCAGGGGGACACAGCCAGACAGGAAGGGAGTGGCCTGGGCTTTGCCCTCCACCCCACCTCGCTTGCTCCCTCTCTCTTCCATGTCTGGATCATACACAGGCTCCTCAACTCCCCCACCAGGACCCAGCTTTCTCCCTTTCAGCAACCCTCTTAGGGACCTAGAAGTCCCCTGGGGTGGACTCCTGTCTGCCCACCCCCCAGGGCCCAGACAGCCCATCTCCCAGGCCTCCCATGCAGGCCCTCCGCCTCCACCTGTCATGACAACAGTTGCCAGTAGGTTTCTAGGCAACGAGGGGGCATCCTGCCACTCTTCTTAGTTCCCTGCCACCCCCCTGCCTGGCAGACCCACCTTGCTGTCAGAGACTGGAAGGGAAGGGAAAGGGGCTTTCTCCCCACTGGGGATGGAGGGTTGCTGAACTGGGGTGAGTTGGTTTCCTCCACCTGCCAGAGAGAAAGCACAGCTGTACTTCCTCCACCAGACAAGGGTGATGTGAAGGACCTATGCCGGCCTGAGCACAGTCATCTGCACCCTGACCTGGAGGCGGGACCGAGTGAAGCCCCCCATCCACAGGGAGCTCTGGAACGGAGGACGCCCAGGCCCATCACTGTAGTTTGATGATAAGCACTGAGCTCACCTGGTGTCCTCTGAAACCTGCTCTCGGATGAGCTTCCAGATGTGCCCCATCACCACCACCACACAGGGAAACCTACCCCAGCCTGCAGCGTGCACGCCATCTGACACACCTCCAGGGAGCCAAGAGTGTAGGGTCTGTGGCCAGCCCAGCTGTCAGCCAGCTGAGGGTGGGCTGAACATGGGGGCTTCCTGCCACGCTGACTCAAGAACATAGCGAGGGGCCCACAGGGGCCATGTGGCACTTGTGTGTGCTCTGCACCCTGGTGTCGTACATGTCTTCCCACCCTGGGCCTGGCAGGGAGGCAGCGCAGGCCAAAGCAGGGCAGAGGGGTCCGCTGAGAGGCCTGGGCGGTGGGGCTCAGATTTTGGAAGGAAACCAAGGGAAGGAGTGTGGAGAGAGTGACAGGGCCAGAGTGCCACAGGAGGGCAAAGAGAAGTGGAAATCACAGAGGTGGAGGGGGAGGAGGGGCCGTGAGCCCTGTGAGTGAGGCAAGTGAGAGGAGAGTAGGAGGCATTGGCCTGCACCTGAGCACAGCCCACCGCCACCCTGGGGAGGGAAGGTTGTTTCAAAAGAGGCTGATCATCTGGGTTTTTTGGATAGCATCGACATAACATTATATAGTTTCATGTGTACCACATAATGATTCAGTATTTGTGAAATCATCACCACAACAAGTCTAGTTAACATCCATCATCACATAGTCGTACAGTTACACATTTCTTTTCTTGTGATGAGAATGGATTTTTATGTGAAAGCGCTAATTTTTTGGAAAAAACATGTTGGCAACAAATTGAACATTTTGATAGCGCTGGGGGAAATAACACTCACGGCCCACAGGATGACACCAGTGGATGCGCACAGGGATGTGGGGACAGGGAGCGCAGGGCAGAAGGAGAGGGGAGGGAGAGTGACACAGGAGCAGAGACCAGTGCTGGGCAGAGATGGAAATAAAGGAGTTTCACAGCAGATGGGGTGGGAGAGAGAAAGCCTGATGAATGAGTCCAGGGCACAGACGGATGAGTGAGGACAGGACAGCACTGGGCTGCGTGGTGGGTTGAGGGTCAACCCAGGGGACAGGTGGATGAGGTGGGAGACTGAGAGGCTTGATAGAGAAAGCAGGTGCAGGTGACACCTTATGACAGATGTGGGGCCAGAGATGTGGGGAAGAGGTGAAAGATTGGGGATGGATAATGAAGGTCCCAGCAGGCAGGACAGGTGAGCAATGGGGGTGGGGAGAAGAGCAGACAAATGTGGGGACCGTGGCCAGAGACGGGAACCAGGGAGCTTAAGAGGCTGAGAATTTGGCACTTCCCCTCCCCCTCACAGCACCTCTGCTCCAAGAGCTGCCTCTAGCTCTGTGGTGCGCGTGCACGAGTGTGCTTAGCCCCAGGCTGCTTTCAAGAGATGTGTCAGTGGCCCTCTGACACCTGATAACTCTGATAGTGAGGACAACTGCCTCTAGGTGGGATTAAGGGCGACTGCTGGGGTCCGATGGGGCTGGCCGTCCCTCTTACACACACAACACGTGTGCCCCCCACGTTGGGCTCTGGGTGCAACTATATTTGCTGCACGTGGCACTGCATCTCTGTAGCTGTGAGGCCACCTCAGAGCCTCTCGCTTTGTGTCTCTCTGTGGGTGGGAGGTCGCAAGGCGATGGTCTGCCAGGGCCTCACCCGCTAGCGGCTCTCTCCATGAGGTGCTGCCTCTGTCTCTCCCCCCAGGTCTCTGTGCATGCACACGACTCCAGCTCTCTCTGGCTGACTCTGGGTACCACAGCTGCGTGTCACTGGATCTCTGATTCCACATCTGGGTCTCTGGCTGCCAGTAAATGATGTGTGTGTGTGTGTGTGTGTGTGTGTGTGTTCATGCCCCTCTGCCTACACGTGCCTCTGTGTCTTTCTCACACATTCCCACCCTCCTCCTATGGCTGATCTGGGTCTCTCTGGTCCCTCTGACAAGTCACACTCTATGCCTCCATCCTCCCCAACCCCCACCCCTGCACTCTGGTGACGAGTGTTCTCCAGATCCTTCTTGCCAGCACCCTGGGTTTGTCCCCACCGTCCCTGAGTCTGTGGCTCCCTGTGTCTCTGCCTGGCCCACTGGCTCTCACTCCTCTGTGTGTGCAGATGGAGTTGTCCTGTCTCCCTGACTCTCCCTTTCTTTCGGAAATTAAGTAACTGTGTCTGTCTGGCTCTCTAATTGTGTGTGTGGCTGTTTGGGAGTTGGGGCTCCTCTCTCACTCTGGCGGGGCCTCCGTCTCTCTGGCTCCCACCTTCCTTGCCTTGTCTGAGAGTCTCTCATGCCTGTCTGCTGCTCCACTCTCTGGCCCTCCTTTCTGAGTGTGCATTTGGACAATCAGCCGGCCAAGATTAGAGGAGACCCAGGGAAGAGCAGGAGGAAGGTGGGAAGGAGACCAGGAGGCTTCGATGTAGGTTAGAAGGAGCGAGGAGACAGAAGATGCTACAGGAAGAGGGAGGGGCTGATCCTGGCCGGGATCCTAGCGGGTGGGGAGTTTTTAGGGGGGAGAGGTTGCTGCCGGCTGCCTGGACCAGGAGGGAAGCGACTCTGGCTACTCCCAGCTGCCGCTGGAGCCCGAGTTCCTGTCTGGCGGCTGCGCGGCTGGGACTTGGGATGTGAGGCGCATAGCAATGGGGCTCTGCGGAGGCTCGACTGCAGCTCCCAGCTGGGGAGGGGGCGGGGAGGGGGCTGAGGGGCAGCCCTGAGGCTCCCTTCCCCTCCCCCCTCCCCAGCTGGGCTCTCCCCAGGGGATTTCCCCACCCTGAGAAAGTGTCCTCAGGAGAGTGGGGCTGAGGCTGCAGGGAGCAGGGGAGGGTGCTTAGGAGGAGCAGTGAGGTGGAGGTGGGGAGACAAGGGTCAAGATAGGAGTGGCGGCGAGCAGAGGATAGGGTGGGCGAACGATGCAGCATCAAGGGCAGCAGGGCTCAGACCCTGTCCAGAGACCGGCTGGGCCCCTGGCCCAGAAGAGGAGCCCATGGAAGAGGGGGCTTGAAAACATGGGCGGAACCCTGGGTAGAGCCTGGGCCTCTGGCTGCCTGGACTGATGGGGACTTGGAAGGAGCAAAGGGTTGGAGAAAGAGGTTCCAGGGAAGAGGGCTCTAGTACCGGGGAGTCTGGGATTGGGGGATCCCAGGGGTGAGGAGACAGGGGCTCTGTGTGAAGAAAGGTCATAGAGGGGGTCCTAGGCAGAGATGGTTCTGAGAGAAGGAGGCTGGGAGTGCTACGAGACGCTCAAATTGGGGTCTCCTGGGGAAAGGGTCAAGGGAGGAAGATATCCGAGGTGGGGAGTCAGAGATGGGAGGGTGAGAGAAGCCTGAGGGGAAGGTGGGGGTGTAGTTGGAAGGTCCTGGAAGAGCAGGTGTGAGGGTAGGAAAGCTCTGGAGGGCAACTGGGGGAGGGGCCGTGCCCAAGAGGCGAGGGCTAAGGACGGTGGGAGGGAGGTAGTGGTCCCAGGGAGACACGTGCCCAAGGATAGAAGGCCCCGGAGCAGAATGGGGTCAAGGAAGGGGGTCTTGGGAAGAGGGAGGGGCAGGGGTTCACCTGCCCATCATCGAGGGGTCGGGGGACTCCAGAGGGAGAATGGCTTAAGATTGAGGAGGGGTTGTCTCACTCCCCAGTCACCCCCTCCATCTTTCCCATCCTCACTTCCCAAACTCCCCGGTTCTCCCCGGTTGCCAAGGCAACCGCTCCTGCCAGGCGCGGTCACCAAGGAAACCCCGTGCCCGCCTCTCCCCCCTCCTCATCACTGGCGTGCCCCCCCACCCCAAGCAGCAGCGGTGTGGAGGGTGGGAGGGGCTATGGGGGAGAAGAACTCGGACTCCCGCCCCAGAAAGGGGGACCCAGACGTACCTACGCTCAGGAGACCCCCACCCCAAGCCTACATCCTGAACCCCACAGCTGGATCCGCAGCGACCGCCAGACGTGCACCCCCCACCCCGACCCGTCCACAGGCAGCAGCTGCGAGCCCCCCAACACAGAACTCGCCTGGCCCGGAGAACCCCCACCTGGTTGCTTCCCCCACCCGCTTGGGCGCTCCATCAGGCCCCGCCCACTGTCCTCTGCCGCCGCACCCCATCCCGGAGGAGGCCTAAGACCACTGTCCCCTAATTAAAGAATGCCCCCCCAACCGGCTCCCCGCGGTTCCGCCTCCCGCCCCCGCTCGGCGCCCCTCGGTATCTACTCACAGCGAGGAAAGGGGCTCCTTCCGGGGGGCAGCATGCCCGGCCCGTGGGGGGAGGACCCCCCCAATGAGGCACAGGGATTTGGGGTGCGAGGCCCGTTGCGGGGAGGCGCGGGGGGCGGGGCTGTGGCCGGCCCGAGTCTCGCGCGTTCTCCCCCCCTCCCCGGCTCCGGGATGGGGAGGGGGCTTCCGCAGCTGCAGCAGCGGGGTTCGGGGGGCCGCTCTGCCTCCTGGCTTGCCCGCCCGCCTACCGCCCGGCCCGGCGCCCTCGCTCGCCGGCCCGCCGCCCGCCTTCCTTCTTGCCTTCCTTTCTTTCCTTCTTTCTTTCCTTGCTTCCTTCCTTCCAGCCTTCCCTCCTTCCTTCCCCCCTCCGCGGGCCGCCGGCGCCGCTCTCCCCCCA